GACCTTTCTGCACGGGATAAATTGTCTCTTTTAGAAGGTTGTTTGCAAGTGTTTCTGCTATGGAGCGCTGATTTTTCTATGTTATCACAGTAAAGGTCAAGGGCAGCATTACGTCCTGGAGGAGGAGTCCAATTACTCTTAACATATAATTTAGGTGGCATCATCATCAACATCATTTGTGTTGCAAATGCCGTAAAACTCTTACTAAATCTAAAACTTTCTTTTGCAGCTTATTTCCTATCATCTTCCTTATGTCTCCTCCTTTTTGTGCGTTCGTTCCTCTCTTCTAACACCTCTAATCTTCGACACTTACATTACCTTTTTGTGTTGCAAGCACTGTAAAACTCGTATTTAAACTAAAAATGATTTCCCCAGCGTTGGTCAGCGACAGTTGGTGTGCCTGGCCCGGGCACTGCTCAGAAAGAACAAGATCCTGGTCCTGGATGAGGCAACAGCCGCAGTGGACGTCCAGACAGACGCTTTTATACAGGTCTGTGATTTTTTTGTTTAGTTTGGTTTGGTTTTGTTCGTTTAGTTTGGTTTAGTTTTAGTAGAGGTTTTACGACACTCGCAACTGCATAAGGTCATATGAGCGCCAGAAGATTAGAGGTGTTACAAGAGAGTAACAAACACAAAAAAGAAGAAGAGGTGATAAGGACAATAGATGTTTGATAGTAAGGAAGAAGCAAACCACACCAGAGCACCCGCCAACCGCCCTCTTTGTTTGTTTGTTTTGTTTTGTTTTAGTACAAGTTTTAGGTCCCCCTTTGCCCTCTCCTCTGGGCTCCTGACTCTTTCTGCAGCCTTTCTACTGCTACTCCTTGGCTCCCTCTTACTACTGTCTTTCAGCTACACCCCTGATCTTCTGGTAGGAAGTAGATTTACACCTAGCCTTCTCGGACAAGGGCGAAAAATCTCGGAGGTCCAGAGCGCAAGTTGCGCACCTTAAAGATCCCTCGGTGGTCCAAAAGTCGATAACAGTAGGCTTCGGCGGCGCCCCGGGTAAAATTCAAAATTTCCTACCAACTTAAACTGTTTAAATGACTGTGTCCCGCGCGCTCATATGACCTTGTGCAGTTGCAAGCGCCGTAAAACACTTAAGAAAACAATTTGGTCCTAAAATATATCAATGTAAAGTGACAGTTTCCGAGGGCACTCAATCGTTGGACATCCACAAACTTTGGAGACTATTTTCTCGCCTCTTTTACCTCCAACACCAGGCGACCCACGCCCCCTTTAATCGCAAATGTGAAGGGTGCTGACTAAATGAGTTACTTCTCGGATTCGAGCCCTGTGGAAATCGCTACATCACGCTTATAGGTGAAGTTTTTACAATGTATAAGTATGAAATAATGTAAGGCATGTTTTATTTAAAGAATATGACATCAATCGAAAATCTACAAATTTGACCCTTGTGTCGATTTTTGGCCCAATATCTCCTCTTGTGGATTGTGAGAAGTAACTCATTTTGCCAGCACGTCTCACAAATAGTTCTACTACTATTCAAGAGAGATTGGGAGGAGGGGGGAGGAGGGTCCGACCTCATGCAAGACAAATGAACCAGCTTTAAGATGATACGTATAACTCCGTTGAGTCAATAGTACCGTAAAACACCTACTCTATCAATCAATTAAAAACGTATAGCTCAGGATCCCTGAAGATTGACGGGCGCCTGATTCCCCCCCGCCGTGACAGTTAATCATCATCATCATCATCATCAT